AGTAGTGTAGATCCTAATAAGAGACCAGAGTAATAACCCCCTGGATTAACAAAATTGCTGCTTGTAGAAGTATGATTCTGGCTTTTACGAAGATTTCAGGAGAATGAATAAAAATGACTGAATGACATTTCGTAATGTGCAAGTGGTAATCGCTCCCTTTTCTTTAAAGTTTAAAAAAAAATATGTTCTTGTACTTCAAACTGGACTGTTAATAACATCCAGGGACAACATGACTTTTCCTTTTTGAAAAATGCTTCCCTATTCTTCCCCCAGGTAGCGGGTTGTATGTGTGTGTGTTTAATCTACTGTCAGTTAAATATGCAGTTACTTAAGGCAATTCTGTTCTCCAAAACACCATTTCAGCCCACCAAACCCTCCCACTCACCCCAATTCAGACACATCTATATATGCACACAGATACACATACACAGAACCACATTTTCTCTCTAAAAGGGGTGAATTTTTACCATTTATAATTTCCTATGGTCAGCTTTTCCCTCTAAACATCTCTCTGCCCCAAGTGATGTTTAAAAGGGATTCTACATTTCCCTTATTTTCAATATTTTTTTTAAATGGATCACAATTTTGTTTAGTGGAGGGGCACATAGAGAGGGAAGGTAGAGGATAGAGGAGACAGTTTCCACAGGCACTGAGTTCAGAATCATGGTGAGCTCCTCTTCTCCCTGTCAGGTCCCATCCACTAATTCACCTAAGACAGTCAAATGCCTCATATATGGAGACCTCTACACTACAGGTTAATGCATCTCACACCATAAACCAGCTTTGGCACGGCCAAGGTCAAAGCATCACACGATAAAGATACACCTTCATGGCGGTTTATATGTGTGTATATGTTCACATATGAACATGCATCTACATACATGAGGGTGTATATACGCCCATGTATATATACACATGCATGTGTATATTGATACAAATTTCTACATATGTGCGCATATATAATAAACATTACTTAATTGCTCGTTTCTTCTTGCAATTTTCCACCTCCCTAAAACAAGTAACTTGAAAATATGAGTTTCGTGACCGTCTACTTCTTCTCATACTTCCCCAACCTATCTCCACTTGGTTCTCCACCTTCACAAGACATTCCAAGGACAGCAGCCCTGGGAATTGCTGTATGGGGGCTTCTAAACTGGACAGCAGATGGTGAGGTATTCTGCTCAGACGTAAAAGAAGACAGCATTACGATGAACCGGGCTCTCTCCTGCTCCTGCCAGGCGCGATATTTCCTGGCGATTGTAAGACTATCTTGGAGGACGTTTGCTTAAGGTTGGGGGCTGGAGGGGGGGGAGGGGGTCAGGCTCTCCCAGCATTGTAACCGCGTTCCCAGATATTAGGGCCAAATTGGGTTGCCATTCATTAATAATGCTCACAATAAGATTAAATCATTCTGGAAAATCTCATAAAATCCCCCTAAGTACGCTCCAGTGGCTCTTTCCAAACCCCATCATTCAGCACTTGGGGAGGTTTGGAAGGAGAAGAAAATTGGTTTCTTTGCTTTTAATGCTGCTTTGAAAAGATACTCAGAGTTTGTCATGCGTGACATGTCACATGTTTAATATGGACTTGCTGGAAGTCAGGGGGTCTTTAGCGTGTGATATTTATGGAGAATATTAAGTGCAGAATGAGGTCCCTCCAGCTGGAGAAAGTTGAAAGAATAAGAGGCCTTGGATTCGGCTTGTTTGCAGCATCAGAATGACATAGGATTAAGAGTTTGTAAAACAAGGCGAGGAGTTCTCATTGGCCAGTAATAAATGTAATCCTTGGAGGTAATTTCACGCAATTTGCCTCTGCTCCATGGAAGGGTCAAATGAGAAAAAATGACTTAGAAAAGAGTTCATTAACAGGAAGAATGGTACTGTTACTCGTATACCATCCAATTGGCAGCCTAGAAGGGAAGGGGGGAAGAGGGGGAGAGAAGCGGAATCCTGACTAAACAAAAAGGCAAAATCCCAGGAAAATTTATATTAACCATAAAGCGGAGTACCCCCTTACAGTGCCCATAAACATGCTGGCTTCTTCCGCCCAGGGGTGGGGGTGGGGAAGATCTCTGAAATGCGAGGACTAAGAGCCACCAGGCTATCAGGACCAGTGAGAGAAGCCTGCCCTCTCCTCCTCTTACCCCTCCAGTTCTCTGTCATCCGCTTGGAATGGGATGTGCCCGAGACAGGCATTTAAGTTTGGGAGGGCAGAGAAAGTGGCATTCCCCTAACACTTCCTTCCCCCACGTATATCCTGTAACTAAGGACCCTTAGGCTCCTCCTATCTCTGCGGTAATTGAGGGGAGGGGTGAGAAGAAGACGAGGAACTTGTACTGCAGAGAATTCCGTTTCCCACCCCACTCCAAAGGTACCGAGATTCTCTAAAGCGAAATATAGGCCTCCATTCAGTGACCCATCATTTGCTCATTGCTCCTTCTATCATCACCCTTATCTCCCCTCCCCCTCCTCCCTAGCCCTTTCCCTTGCTCCCCATGATCCCCCTCTCCCCTTAGTATCTTCTCTCCCCCTACATTCTTCTCTCTCCCTACTCACACTCTCTCCTTCCCCATTTTCCTCCAGTTTTCTATTATGAGCCACTGTATGATTCTTTGACCTTTCATTCTTTCCAGGGCCCTACTGCCCTTTTACTGAGTTTTTATAGCTCATGATGAAGTTCAATTACAAGGTGCTAACTGCATATCAGCAAAACCGAAGCTAGTCGCTTCCCTAGAAATAATCCCAGAACTAAAGGAGCGCAAGTATCTGTATTCTTCGATGGTAGTTAACGGAGGACCAGGGAAAGCTTGCTAGTTTACCTGCTTAGGCTTACCTCTGCAGGTCCCCTGAGGGCAGAGTATAGAACCTTGATGACAGGCTAGGATGAGGGAACTTCGCCCACTCCACTTTAAACCTGCATTCCTAAATCTGCACATCAGTCCTCTCCAGATGGAATGTTCAAGGATATAGATTAGAAATGAGAGAGAAGTCATTTGCCCAGCTTGCCCTAGAGTCACACTCTGCTCTGCCGAAGTTGGGTACAGATTTCCACTACGCGTTAAAGCAGGCGCTTATAAAAGCAGGACACCAGAGTAACCCGGCAGGACTTAACCAAAGCTCAAAGAAGATGTCAACTCAGGTTAGTCACGGAACGTCAACCCCCTTCTTGCCCCTCCCCCCAAAGGTCCGGTGCGCTAATTACTGCAAATTGAAACTAATTAAGCTCTTCTTCCCTTTCCCATCGCCCTCTAATCATTAAAGAGTCGCACCACGCTGTCAGAGGGGCTGCCATAGATTGGTAACCAATAGTAAATCAAACACGTTTCTACACACACACACACACACACACACACACACACACACACACACCCCATTGCTCTCTTAAAAGTGCATCGCGGGATTGTGAATTGCAAATTGATTAGTATCTACTGTTTTTATGAAACCTTGGTTTCGCCCCCTCCCAAACACACACACACACACACACACATACACACACACACACACCCCTTGGATCAGTGTTTCCCAGTTAGCAATGCAATTAGAGAGCTGACACGTTCATACATCTTTTTCCTCTCTCTGCCTCTCTCCTGTATGCCCCAATTCCCTCCCTCTCTTTCTAGAGGCATCCACATTCACTAACGCGCACGTACACACATACACACACAAGTATAACACCCTCTCTGAAGTGAGCTCCCCAGCTTCTCAATCTGCCCTTTTACCTGTCATCTCTTGGGTGTACATTTCCAAGCACAGCCTTAAGAGAGCAAGTGGTACCTTCAATAATACATCTTCCCTCTATTTCAAGCGAAAAACCTCCGTTTTCTTTAAAATGCTTAAGCGAATACCAATACATGGGCCCAACTACTGCCATGAGGAAAAATTACATATTCATTCTAGGGCACATCCCAAGAGATTAAAATTTCTGTTAAAAGGAGGCCTCCACTCTAGCACCACCACCTGAGTGACTCTGCGGTTGCCCTCTGCAATAAAGTGATTCACCTAATGCTGTGTTCCTGAAGGCATTTTTCACACTCTCTTTTGTTAAACATATATATATTTTTTTATTTTCTGAGTGTGGCACTTCTCCACCGGATAGCAAGGAAAAGTGAGGACAAGAACAACATTACACAAAAGTACTGTACCATTGCCTTTTTTTTTTTAAGGTTTCTGGAACCTCTACAGTTAATAAGTTAAATAAAGGGTCTGTGTACATAAATATTTGTCTAGGAACCCTATCATATCTACAACACAGTAAGAATCTACAGAATGACAAACTTTTACAACACTACACTGAGTGCAATTGTTTTATAACATTTCAAATATACAAAGCTCTGTTCTTTTTTTTATAACAATGGTATGTACAGAATCAATAATCACAGTTTAGTGACTTAAACAGTCCATATTCTAGCAGTGTATTTCCCTTTGGTTTGATATAAAAACCTTGGTTGGTGTAATGATAAAGAATAGAACAAGAAAAAGATACCCCTTCCCTTTAAGTGCACTGGTTATCATACAGCATCAAATTAACTCTCTGCCCTGGAAGCATCCTTGGTTGAGAAAACTCAGTAGGTCAAGGTGTGATTTTTAAAATATGGGGAGGGAAGAACAGGAAGGGGAAGAATCCAACCTTTAAAAAGCACACACATTAAATATTATACGTGGAATCCAGGGAGAAAAAAAAAAAAAACATGGTAAGAAGGCGACTCAAAATATATTTTACATTATGACGTCATTTTAAAAGAGAGAGATGAAAGAACAAATCAGCAGGTTGGACATTTAAGGGGAGAAAAAAAGGTACCAGCCAAGGAATTTGCTATTCAGGAGCTGTTAGTGTTGGTTTACTCAGGAGAGCACTGTAGCAAAGGATGCTTTCTTTCTCCAAGTTCCTAACTCGAGAACCTCTCCAATGTCTTAGTTTGCTGGTCCTCTTTTTTTCCATTTGGTCTTGACTGGTGCTATTTGAGGTGACCTTTTATTTGATTATCGGTGTTGGGTAGCGTTTTAACACACCTCTTTCCCTGTGCTGTTCCCAGGGAGGATATTGAGCTGTGTCAGCTGAGCGGCGTGTTCTTTTGCTTTCAGCCTCAGAGCTGCTATGCTTGAAGCCCGTCTGTCTGCGGCAGCTGTGGCGGGGTCTGAGAGCGCACTTGACTGCACCCCGCTGTCCACCGCGGGAGTGGGCTGCCTCAGTAGGGCGGCAGCGGTGGAAGCACTAGTCAGAGGAGCCATCGTGGAAAAGAGCCTGCGAGGAAAGTAAACACTGGGGTCAACAACCGAGGCAGTTTAGGTATTGCCGCATAACATACGTCCTTTTTCCCCTCTTTTTAATTTTTTCTTTTCTTAATGAACTCCCTTTAACACGTGTTCAATGCTTTCAGAGCTTGAGGTGTGAACAATGTGACTTTTTTTTTTTTGTATTGTGGGAGAATTCGGTCGGGTGCTGAGGGGGCAGAAGACCTGTTGCAAAATCTCAACGTTGGCATTCAGAAGATTTTTTTTTTAATCTAATTTTATCAAAGTTGTTGGTGACAGACTTGTTCAGGAGATGCCCTGTCAAGAGTAGAGTTGATACTATGATTTATGCTGAATAGAGTTATAGATTCCGAAGTCAAATGCTTTCTCATGATCATCCAGCATTTAGGAGAGGGATGAAGGAGACAGCAGGGGAGAAAAGGAAAGAGAAAGAGAAGAAAGAGGGGGGAGAAAGGGAGCGAGGAAAGACGGGAGGAACAGAGGAAGTGATGGAACGCGAAGAAGAGAAGATTGGGAGGGAGAAGAGGGGAAAGAGAAAAGGGGAAGGAGAGAGAGAGAGAGAGAGAGAGAGAGAGAGAGAGAGAGAGAGAGAGAGAGAGAGAGAGAGAGAGCGAGAGCACAGTGGTAACGGTTAACTCGGCTTAGCTCTATTCCGGTTTGGGGTTATGTTCTGTTTTGCTTTGTTTTTGTTTTTTATTTTTTCTTCCTTCCCACCAGCGAACGTCTATGTTGTCTTTCTCCTGGGAAAGGCTCCGAAGTCCCTGGTGCCCGGTGTGTCTATCGACTCCTTAGCCCTGATGCCCATTCCCTGCAGGAGGTGATATGCCTGTTGATTTCCTCACAGTGGAATGCCAATTACTAGCCAGCAACCTAGCATCCCCGCTCAATGACACAATCTTTTAAATGCCTTCCCTCTAGTTTGCCTGACTTCTCTCCCCAGAGCAGTAGCGATGAAGAGAGGGAGTGACCCCTTTGACTGGCACATGAAGATGTACAGACTCTCCATTAACCAAGGAGGTGATTATTGACATCGTCATTGCTAGGAACTGAACTATGGTCCTTCTAAAGGCAATGGGGCCTTATAGCTAAGCCTCAGTTTGCTAAGCCTGGGCATTGGCCACCACAGAGCAGTCACCGCCTGCTTCTCCTTTGCCTTGGCATGAAAAGTGGAAGCCAGGGTTGGTACTGAGAGGAACCAAAGCCAGAGCTGACCTCTCTCCCCAAGCCCCCAAAGGACGCCTGGTTCTTGGGCTGGCCTCCCTCTTGAATGTTGCCCTAGGTTTGTTCCATGCTCTGTTGGCACCTTGCTTTGAGTTTTCCAGCCTTGAATCACTGTCTTTAGGAAGGAGTCAAAATTCTGCTTTGTATTAGGAAATCCAGTTCTCCTCCTCCCTCTCCAACTTACCCCGCTTACTTTATTCCCTGCCCCTTCCCTTGCCTATTTTAATCTTACAGCCCATTATCCAGGCTGTTGTTAGTAAGCTTTTACAATTCACTTTTCAATTTGTTGTCAGGAGGAAAATATTAGAAGCAGTGCATTAATGCTGCAGGAGAGCTGATAAAGTGTGAAATCATGCCTCCATGCAGGGGGCGTGACAGAACTGTAACATCACTTGTTCCATTAGGTAAATTGAGTCACTGACTGCAATTTGATGCACAATCTGTTTAATTTCATTGGTTTGTATGAAGAAACTAATTTTACTTGGAATTTGGTTTTTCCCCTCCATGAGATGATTTTTTTTTAAGTGGCTGCTCAGTTGGATGAATCTATTATTTCTTTGTTCTCTTAAAGAGAGATCATTGCAGCTACATTCAGTTTTATTTTCACTGCACTTTCCAACTTAATACATCCTTCCTTTGTTTCTTTGTGTGATTAACTACAGACTTTTATTTCATCATTTGATGCTCATTTAAAGAAAGAGAGCTATAATATAAGATGAATTATTTCTTTTATTTCCTTGTCTTGTACCACTGTTTGATTCAGGCGTAACATACAGGGATACAGCTTTAACAGTCGGTCACTTGAGTAACAAGATAGATTCAGCTTTAGGACACTGAGAATGTCTGACCTCAGTGTTAGCCACACACAACCTCAGATCAGTTTCTCTTGAACCTAAGTGCTTGTTCCTCTCTTGGTCTGCCACGCTGATGAACTAAATGAACTCCCATCCAGAGGAGGGATCACCAACATGGATTTTGCTCTCCCATCCCTACATCACCCATTATTGGCAGTATTCTATAGTGATACCTTAGGATTATAATATGAGAATACAATTATTGTCCATAAAACATAGTCATTTTAATCACCCTCAGCAAGACTGTTTTCCTGATAAGGAATAGGAAGTCTCTTCTTGTGTCAAGCTTTACTTATTTTTGTAAAGGACCAATAATTTAAGTAATTTTTTTTTTCATTCTTTTCCCTTTCTCTTTCACCATTCTATTCCCCCTTACCTCTTAACCTCCCCAATTATCAGACCCTTGGATGCTGGAGAGTTTTTTTTTCTTCTTGTACATTTTAAATGTGTGTTTAAAAGCACAAGCTGAATAACATTACCTTCCAAATGCAGGGCTGATGAAGGCTGGATGCCGGAATACTGCTGCACCCAGGAAAGTGCTGAGGCCTAGTGGAGTCCCACTTGGTGGCAAAGTTGCAGAACCAGGTGGAGGAGGTAGACTGGGAAAGGCAGCAGCAGCTGCAGCTGCAGCAGCAGTCCAGGCTGAGTCCAGAGCTGGGTGATGAGGAGGGAAAGGACTGGCATCCAGGTATGGACTGAGGGGGTGGGTTGCTGAGAGAGGACCAGGAAAAGGCAAACCTGGAGGGTGAGTCTGAGCCCCAGCTTTCTCCCTTTTTCTCCACTTGGCCCGTCGGTTCTGGAACCAGACCTACAACCCCAAAATAAACCTCTGGTGAATGACTCTTTTGTCTGTCTGCTTGGAAGGATGCTTTAAGCCAGATGTATGTTCTTCTCTGCCTCAGATTCTCTTTTGGGACTGGACATCATCTCTTTTTTTCTCCCACCTCACTTCTACCTCTAGTCTTGATTTCATAATCATATTGTGCTTTGACTTTAAAAATATAAGACTGTTCTATGCCATATCTGGAGAGAGAGAAAAAAGGCATGGAAATGGGTCCCATTTATGAAATCAGAAAAGCAGGGAAACCATAGTAAACAAACACTATTCTACCAGGTCATTTTTTTTTCTGAATAGATTACTTCATTCTCCAGTTTAGGAAGAAAATAAATTTGCAATTTTTGGAATGTCCTCAATGGGCAGAAACAATTATATTCCATACCAGTGTCTATTTTCAACTATTCCAGGTTTATATAACACTATGATTCTCATCTTCATTTTCATTAGTTAAAAAGGGGACAATTCAGCAATGTGTATGGTGGGTATGGAGAAGAGTCCATGTAACGAAAGCAAGCTAATCAACTTGTCTATAGCATATGAAATGAACTGCTCCATAAAACAAACTATGATTGTAATTCTCATGCATGTGTTAGGTGCACAAACAGATTCAGTTCACTACATACTGAGCTAATAGATATATTACCTATAGTAAATGGGTATTCAAAATATAGTAGTATGCACTTTTCCAAATCTTTAGAGCATTCATATTTCCTAGTTTCCTTTAGGATATAGATTAAACCTATTTTATTCAAGAAAGATGGTATGATTTTGTGATGTTCTCAACATAAAATATCTTTCTATTTAGTAATAGAAAGCAGCCTAATTAGAGATCTTTACCTGAAATACTTGCTGTAGCTATCAGCGTTCTAAAAATAATTCCCAATAGCATCAAATGACTTTTTGTGTAATCTATTCAGTACACCCACATTCCCAAGATCTGCTAGGGCTCTTGAAAGCTTTAAGAGTTAAATCATAGAACAGCATCATTGGTGGCTTCTGTGTCCCGACAAATGTCTAAACAATTAAGGAATTCCAATTCCAGGCTATGTATATACAAAATTGCATGAAGAAATAATATCAAATAACAAGTAGGAGTTCTATTTCTCTCTCCCCCCCCAAAAATATGCAGGATTGTCAAATGTAGGTTGAGAACTTATGTTGTAAATACCCCAGTTTCTAAGTTTAGTTTGACTTTTAAACAGCCTTTATAATTAATCAATAAGAAAAATCAGTGATCAAAATGGATTGATCTTTTCAAATGGTGTTGTGAAGGAGGAAGATCTGAAAAATTCTACATGTTTTTCATCTTTTTTTTTTAACCACAAATCCTAAAAGCTTGAGGAAATACACAAAGTAATGCAGTCTTATCTATGAATGTGGGGGGGGGGAGAAGAGATAATTTTTATGCATGATATTTTCTGTTTTGAATATGATTTCTAATTGAAGGAAAATAGCAGCAATATCTTTGTTGCAATCAAAGGAATAAAGGAAGCAAAGTTGTCCAGAACAGACAAAATGTCCTTAAAGAAAGTGAAAATCTTTCCCAACCTAATTTTATTGCCTAGCTCAACCTCAATTATCAAGATGTCCCTACTGCAATTCTCCATTATTGAATTAATACCTCTGAGTACACCCAGAGGTAAACTAAGGGACTCTAATAATTCATATTCACTTAATTACATCTCCTCCAGTGAATAGGGGGAAAGGAGAAAGGAGGGGTGGGGGGGACTCTTTCTTTCTTTTTAAAAGTTATTTAACTTTCCCACGACTTGTTCCCCTGAGCTGAAAATACTGATTTGCTGTCACATCTCTGTTTGACAATGGAGAAATGTGTCAACAGAAAGGAGGGGACAGATCTCATCATTAACCCCTCTAATGCAAGAAGCTGTTGTGTATTAAATGAGCCATATGGAATTTATTATGCTTTATCAGCGCTTGATTTTAACTGTAAAGTGATTTGCTCAGCTTCAGACTCAGAGACATCTGTTTTCTGTTGGCAATCAGGGCATCCCAATGTTTATCGTCTCTTTGGTTATGAGGCTTGGGTTAGGAAATGCACTCTGGTATGGGGCTGCAAACACCTTTAATAGCATTGCACTCACTCACTATTAGATCAATGCGGGCTTATTGCTATAAAAAATGGGAAATCAAATAGCATTAGCCAGCTCCTTGTGCAGGCGGAGGGGAAATCAAACAGCATTTTGCCTTCAAATGGCCCTGTTTGTTCTAGCACTAAGTGGGCTTTTATGAAGCCCGATTGGAGACTTAATCGCAGCCAAATACCTGCTTGGAGCTGAGCGGATTCGTCTAACAACCAAATCCGCATTCTGCTCGATTATTTCAATCAGAGTAAGTTTGCGCCAGCGGATTGTTAGGTATCGGGGCTAAGCCTAGGCTCCCGAAGTGCCAAGCAGCCTGGGGTGTTTCAAACCCCGTCTCTGTCCCTTGGGTTTCTTTATTTCTCTCTCTCTCTCTCTCCCCCTTTAGGATGATATGATTTTCAATTTTATATAAAAATTGTATCATATATGTACACGTATACATATATACACACATACATACATACATATATGTAGTGGATAGATGTTTATATTTTAAGTTGGACTCCTGATTTCAGCACAACCTTTAGAGATCAAGTTTTGTTGCCCTTGACAGGGCCCACAAAATTTTGTCCTAATCTATGTGGCTAGACCTCCAGACTATGTTGGAGGAGAAAAATGCAACTCTAGACAACACTCCCCTCTTCTCTTTCCTCTTCCCCTACCCTCTCTCTCTCTGTCTGTCTCTGTCTCTGTCTTTCTCTGTCTCTGTCTCTGTGTCTTTTTCTGTCTCTGTTTCTCTCTCTCTCTCTCTCTCTCTCTCTCTCTCTCTCTCTCTCTCTCTGTCTCTCTCTCTGTCTCTCTCTCTCTGTCTTTCTGTCTCTCTCTCCCCCTCTTTGATGTCCTTTCATGCCTTATCCTAACCACAAATACAGTTTTATCCCATTCCTGGATGATGGGCCCTAGGGAACTCACCTGGACTCGGGCTTCTGTCAGATCGAGTCTCATGGCCAACTCTTCCCTGAGAAAGAAACAACACACAAACACAAACATCAATGTAGTGAGATGCAGTCACCCATAGACCTTGGACTCACTGTACCACTAAGCTAGAGTCTTTCACTGCTCCCATACCTGGGGATTAGTTAGCAAACACACCTTGGTTTACTTACAAAAACCTTAAGATTGAAAACGTAAGCTCATATTCATCCTCTTTTGCTGCTAAAATGAGTTTTTAGAATAGATGATAAGGTTTGCACAATCTTAACCACACGTTGCTAGGTGTAGAATTTTTTTTAAAGAGATGAGTCTAGATGTGATCATTAATGCACTTTCTAAGTTTATATAAGGCAAAGCATGATGGTGCTTTCCCCCTCATACAAGTATTCTTTACTTTGTCAGTCAGACATATGATCACGTGAAAATCTTAGACCATATTTCTTCTTAACATTTTGTTGGTAAAGAGCACAATACTAGTGAAAAATAAAATCAGTTTAATACTTGAGTCACCGAATCAGTAAGAAAATGCAGCTGGGCATCTATCTTAAGCCTCCCTCCTCCCCCCCCAGTTGTCTGTGTCTCTGTCACACTCTCTCCCTTTCTCTACTTTTTCTGTCTCTCCTCCCTGGTTTTTGGATTTTACACTCTCACTATTTCCCTCTCCCTTCCTCCTCCTTCCGTTAGATCACGATCCCCATTACCCTCTGGAGTTATATTAAGCTTATTAAAGGTTCGGTGGGGGCAATTTTTCAATTAAAAAATACTGTGCACTTCCTGTTTCAAATGCCCACCATAAACTCTGCTCATCATACAGAAGTCAATTTAGATGGAACTGTATCTCATCGTTGTAGTTATTACAGCAACAATTAAGACAAATAGGAAACCATTAAGATGTTGTAAAACTGCTCACAATTTGTTTACCGAAAATAGGAGAGCTCAGAATATAATTGGATCTCCCTCCGATAATATGAAAGAGTTGGGCTAGCTGAGCATCGGGACCCAGGACTGAGGGATGCTGCTCTTTGCTAGTCACTAGGCCTCACCTGAAAGTTTCTTTCAAAGCCTTCAGCATAGGAGAAGCTAAATCTGTTCTGAGCTTCCCTTCTCCTCCACCCGGCTGTCTAAACCAAATCTTTTACAGCTAGATCAAAGGAATCTCTTTAATAGAGAAGGGTGGGGTAGGAGTAAGTATGGGGAAGATGGCAATGTTCCCATCAAATCTGTTTCTCTTGAGGGAAGTAAAAAAAAAAAGTGGACACTAACTCCAACTCAATCAGCCTCATTTTTCTTTTTCACTTTTAACTTGTATCCATGTGTAGTATATGGCATAGTCACAGTGAGCTAATGGTTATTGGATTTTGAACATCTATTTTAAAGTTTCTTTAACTTAAAAAAAAGCTAAAGGAGAGGGATGGGTGGAGGATTGGGAAGGCCAAGTTTAGCATCCTCTCACTATGAAATCCGCTATTTTCTGCATCCTGTTGGGAGAGAATTTTAGAATGCAAAATCAATTATCGTTTGAAGTCCATGCTAGACGCTAAAGTATTCACAGTATGCTCTCTGCTTTAAAGTAGTAGTCATTTTTCTCTTTTAAAATTCAAATTAAAAAGCTTAAGTCGTCTGTGAAGTAGCTGGTTTAAGTTTGTCAAGTAGTTCTCTAAATATGTTTGCACTGCTCCGACACCCTTGCGTATCCTTCTTCCTCTCTCTCTGTCTCCAACTGGGTAATATTTCCTCCTGACCCTGGCTTTCCCCCAGTAAAAGCAGGCTATAAACCAACTGAGCTTTGGGCGGGGGTAAAGAAGGATGCTACAGCATACCTCCCAAATCGGGGATCAACTTTTCCAGATTAGCTGAATTAGCACCGTGCATACTTTCTCTCCCTGCCTCTTGAATACACATTAAAAAAAACAATGTAAGACTGATAGAGAGTATAACAAAATATTCCGATCCATAAATCCTCAACACACAACTGGATACATTTTTTCACCATTCAAATTTCGTATCAACTTCATATAGGGAATGCAATGCCCATGATTTGTCGTGCATACATATCCAAACATTTTTGTTAAGCATATTAATTAAACACAAATTCAGACTGTAGGCAGGCATAAATATATAAAACCTCGAATGGCTCCAGGATTTTACTCAGACACGTATTTTGGGAATCCTCAAATCAGAATACTTTGATCTTTTTAAAGGACTTTCCTGTAGGGATAGGGCTCTAAAGTCCCTTGGGAATACTGTAACTGATATCCCACAGGCTTATCTGTGAATATGAAGGGGGTTCAGCAAGGCAGACCAAAATAGATCATGATTTATTGTAGACCTCACCAGAGCCAGCGCTACCTGCTCTAGGCCAAAGTATGCAGCAAATATAGCTTGAGTCTAGAACGGGAAAGTTCGACCAGTCCTTTGGGTATGTGCTCGCGTGTGAATCTATTTGTCTGCAAGTCTGTTAGAAGAGCGCTTTCTAGTCTGGGTAGGCAAGCTAGTTTTCCAAAAATAATTTAGAAAAGAAAAAGAAATTGGGCTTGGTGATGGGAGGGCAGAAATCGTCCCACCAAACTTTGATCCCTTTGAAATAATAGTGGGACTGAAGGGAAGGGGGTTAGTAGAAATCTATAGAGAGGGGACAGAGGCGTGTGGTGGCGGAGGGGTACTGGAGAAGGGGCAAGAGTTTGGGTAAGTTCAGGGACAGTAAGTAGGTCCTGGTGCTAAGGCCGGGAGACACCTGCAAATAGTGCCCGTGCTCGGTTTCTAGCTGCTGCGGTGCTCTCCCTCTTAAGCCCAGTCTTTTGCCCGGGAGGACCACTACTGTAAATATTGCCGGGAATGGTAGGTACAGGTTCCTATTCCTGCCTACCTACTTGTCTATCTGTACGTCTGTCGCTACCTCTCAGACATCTTGTCGCCCGTGGCCGTCTAAGCCCGACTCTGTGTGTGTGTGTGTGTGTGTGTGTGTGTGTGTGTGTGTGTGTGTGTAAGGGGTGGGGGAGTTCTAGGAAAGATGGCAGTACCTGGTGAAAACGTCGGGGTAGTGGGTTTTTTGGAAAGCTCGCTCCAGTTCCTCCAGTTGATAACTGGTGAAGGTAGTGCGGTAACGCCGCTGCTTCCTCTTGAGCAGGCCCTCCTCGGAGTCACTGCCGGCAGACAGGCACACACTGTCCTCGCCGTCCTTGCCCTCGCCGTCCTCGCCAGGGTGCAGCAGCAGCTCCTCCTTGGGGGACAGCTCCCCGCCCTCCGCGGCGGCTGCTGCAGCGGCAGCGGCGGCGGCTGCGGCCGCTGCGGCAGCGGCGGTGGCGGCGGTGCAGCGCCTAGGCTCCTTCAGGAGGCCCCTGCCGTCGTCCTCCAGGAGCTCCTCCTCGTCGTCCTCCAGCAACTCTTCTTCTTCATCGTCCTCCTCCTCGTCCTCCAGCAGTTCCTCCTCGTCGTCCTCCGGACCTGGGGGACCGGAGGAGGCGGCGGCGGCCGAAGCTACTTGGCCCAGCCTGTCGTCGGGGTGCGGAGCGCCTCCCTTGCTCCCCAGCTCGTCTAGAGCGGGCGGTGGTGGCACGAAGGGGGCCCCGTTCTCCCTGTACGACTTGCTGCGGCTGATGCTGACCTGTGGCGCTTGGCTGATTTTGAGCGTGTCCCAGGCGGAGGTGGCCCCAACCCCGGTTCCGGCTCCGGCCCCGGCCCCGTCGGGCCTGTCTCCAGACCTCTGCTGTGGGGGTTCCCCGCGCGGGCCCGCCGCGGCTGCCGCAGCAGCTGCCGCCGCCGCCGCCGCCGCTGCCGCCGCCGCCGCTCCCTGCAGAAGGCGGCCCCCTCCCGGACCGTAGAGGCGCCTCAGCTTGGGGGGCAGGTGAAGTTCTGCTTCGAACGGAGGACTACTGCCCTTCGGGGAGCCTGCTGAGGAAGGAAGGAGGAAGGGGTAGAGAAAAATAGCGTGGACAAGGAAGAAGGAGAAGGGAGAGAGACCGGCAGACGGCCGACACCCCAACAGCCGGGACACATAGAGGGAGAGAAGAGGATGGGGTGGGGAGAGAAAGAGAAGTACACAGTAGGTCAATGTCAGTGTCCCAAGCACAGCTACCAGCTGCCACCCAAAGGCAAGTTAGGCACTGGTCTGTCCCATTTCCCCTGTATCTCAATCCTCAGATCTCCCACCACTTGAATACTCCGTTCCACTAAGACTTTTTTTCCCTAAAGGAATCAGACAAGAAACCCTGGAATCACCGAGGCCAGAGAAGGGATCATGTTTGGGGTTCTGTCAGCCGGCTAGTGCAATTCTTAACTACGGTCTCCTGGTTTTGCCCCCTCCTCCAGTAGGTTGGTAGGGGATCGAAAGAAGAGGGCCGAGGGAGCTGGCAGGCCCTACTCATCCAGTTGCACTAGAAAACATGCCACGGGACAGTTGGCACGGTGCCCATAGCTTTCAACTCCCCGTTTCACTCTTTCCTCACACATACACACCCACTTTATTAAAGATTATTGTGCATTCATTCTCTGAGCCCCCCAACTTTTTTGGGAAAGAGAAAACATTCTAGCACAGAAACAACTAAAAAAAAACCCTTAAAACTTTGCTAATTACATCGCTCCCTTCTTTCTACAGCTAGGCGATGAGGCTGTGGGGCACTGCAGCTAATCCTTGGCTGGCGCTGAACTGGGGAGAGGGGAGCTGCCCCAGCTGGAGGCCGCTGGAGGAGCAGACAGACTCTGGAGGTTCTGGGAGCCCTGATCCGTCCCCAGCCAACCTGAGGGAAGGGGGCGAAATCTTTCTTACTGAAACGAGGAAAATTCCCCAAGAGCCGATACGCCTTTAAAAAGAAGTGGGGAAGACTGGGGTGTGTGTGGTGGAGAGAGTGTTATAGGGAACGCGCCTGCCAAATAGTCTGCTTAGGACTCTTTCCCTTCGAGGAAGCGCCTGACACAAGTGCTGCCACAAGCTATAAAAAGAAAGGGAGAAAGTCAGTTTTATTTTAAATAAACGACTTTTTCTCTTCTCCCCCCATCCCCGCCCCAGTCAGTTTCCTTTTCCCCAAAGGACACGAGCACTGGCTTGACCACCAGCTTTAAGATGTCAAACGCGAGTCTGCGGGGATTTTCTTCCTATCCTCTAGAGATAAACTTGAGAAGAGCAGGTTTGAGGACATGCTGCAAAATAGTTGTTCTGCATTTTAAATCACCATTTGAATGAAAATCGCAGAACCTCATCTGGAGAAAGAGAGGGGAGAGAGACGGAGAGAGGGAGAGAGAGAGAGAGAGAGAGAGAGAGAGAGAGAGAGAGAGAGAGAGAAAGAAGAGAGGAGAGAGAGACAGAGATCCCTCGAAAAGCTGCATTTTTCGTGTGGTTCAAATACCATAAGATGAAATTTCCGACACCCCAGTTAGACATTTTCTGCAATGCTTCAGTTAAAAGGTTCCTAAGAAATATGTAAGGAAAAAAATGGATCGTGAGGAAAGGAAACCTCAGGTAGAGGAATGACATCCCCACGCCCCGGTTTGTTTTTCTTTAGGTGCCCCCAGATTTTGGCTGCTTTGAGGTTCCCCAAGTCGTTGCTCTAAAGGATTTGATCCCGGGGAGCACCTGCCATTTCTGATTTCTCTCCAGCACACTAACACCAATCTCCAACACGACCGATATATTACTTTAATAAGGCAGCTACATTCAACTAACAACCAGAAATGTTCCTCTCTCTGTGCTCTGGAGAGAGAGAAATCTCCTGTCAGAGGCTTTTTTTTTTTTTTTTTTAATATAGGTCCCTGAAAGGGTGGGTGCAGGCAGCAAAGTTTACAGGCCTTATGGATCTATCTTCCTCTTCTTCCTCAGTCCCTCTCCCTCTGTTCCCAACCCTTCCTCCTTCCCAAAAACAAAATAAAAAACCACAATAATTGCACTTCGGGAATGATATTTTGGCTGTCGCGATTTGCAGTCCGAAGGATTGAAAGATTTGTTTCTTACCTTGCGCGACCTTATCCTGATCTGTCCGGTTGGACAGAGAAGGCAGGCTCTGAGCAGCTCCTAGCAATCTCATTTTACAGGGACTCCGCCTGCCCAGGATGCTGTCTATGCAGTAGGAGGAGAGCAAAGTTGGAGATTTACTTTTGCACTCAGGCCTCTCAGAGCAGCTCTCCTCTTGGTACTGATTGCTCATGGTTTTTGGCTTTTCCCCTTTTCGTAACGAGCTGGGAGGTTGCTGCCTCTCTCAGAAGGCTGGCTGGCTGGATATGTGTGTGTAGGGGAAATGGCTGGCTTTTTTTTTTTTTTTTGGTTTTGGGGTTTGGTTTTTTTTTTTTCCTTGTTGCTTTCCCCGCCCCACCCCCTAAGCTGCTTGTTTTAATCCCCCCTCCGGCGGCTCCCACACTCGCCCCTCTTCGTGCTCAGGACACCAGTAACAAGTGTAGTGAGCAGCAATTGCTTTGCTCCGGAGTCCCTCTCCTCCACGTGCTGGGAGTCGTCCCCTGATTGGTTCTCACCAGAGGCTGGGCAGCATTAGGCTAAGGGCGAGAAGTAAAACTCGACATGGATTTCCTGGGGACAGCCCTCAACCACCATCACCAAATAAAAAAGTTCATTGCCCTATCCTTTAGAACCTTTTTTCTTTCTTTTCTTCTCTCTTCTTAAAAACAAAACAAAATAAACTCTCGAAGGCCTTATCTGAAGCTCTGATTATTCCCACCCCCAACCCCATCATCTCTAGACTACTTCTAATGGCTCTAATACGCCTTATCTGGGAAAGCCATTTCTGATGCTACGGTCTCTCAGGGGATTCGTGAGATAGAGGACATAGGAAGAAGGCCAAGAGACGGGAATGACACATCAAAGCTGAACTCATAACAAACACAATGCATCTTAAAGCCTCCAAGGAATCTGAATGTAGCATTTTGTACAGTGTCGGGCACTCAGTGGAGTGCACAATTAAAAAAAAAATGTTAGTTTTTGTTAATGCTGATGACAATGGTCAGCCGAGGAGCTAAGGAGTGGGCAGAGGCTGAAATCTGTGGTCGGTCTCAACATACACACAATCCACACAACGTGAACTCCAGGTTTCAGTGGTAATATCCTCACCCCTCAAGACGAAATACACGTTGCTTACTGATTTTTGTTGTTGTTTTCCTAACTTGTTTGGAGTAGGGAGAAGGAAAATTGTTAAAACGAAGTTTTGTAACTAACATAACGGGGAGCTCAAAACCAGATGAAGAGGAGGAAAAAGAAAAGGCCAAAGATTAGGTCTGTAGGATTTCTTTCAGGTGTCTCTATAAATTTCCCTCTTTTTATTCTCCCCCATCGACTTCACAAGTTCTGCTCCCCACCTCGCATCAAAATTACATTGTTGTAGGAACCTGAGACCACACTGAACCGAGTTCCCATGGAAGGTTAGTTTGGGACACGGAGGGTGTCAGAGATTCATTAAGCTCTGAACAATAGGGGGCTATGTTCCAGTCTCATCTTTATCGCCTAAAATAGAGGACCCGTAGTTTTCCCAACTGATACGTCTGTTCTGATTACGAGTTGATGGCACAGTTGAGGGTCCCAGGAAAGGAAAAAAGGTAAGCCCCTAGGGCTAGGGGCATTTCTCTGAAAACATCTTTGACAGCTAGCATCACACACACACACACACACACACACACACACACACACACACACACACACACACACACACACCAAAAAAAGCCGAAGAGTCCGATCAAGATTTAAATTTGTAAAGTCTAGAGAGCGAAACCCTCGTATTTACTCTGCCTCTGCCGGGCTTCCACAGACTTTCCAGCAGCTGTGGCATAGTTTAGGGCTCAGAGGAAAGAAAAAGGGAAACACTAAGCTGGAAAGAGGGGGGAGGTTGAGTGGTGGGATGGGAGGTGTTTTAGAAGGGGTTGGGGGAAGGGTAATCCATGTCGGGTTTTCCTCTTTTTCATCTTTCTCCATTCAATGTGTCAAAGAAGAAGCATTTTTACAAAGGGTTATACTTGAATTGCATACAGTCAGTATTTAAAAATACAAGGATTCATAATTGGAATTTTCTCTGTAATAAACATCTGTATAACTCTTTTAGATGCTAATGGGTGATAGACATTCGGCTGGTTTGGCAGAAGTATTTAATATATACAACTTGAGAGAGATGAAGTGATGATAACTGCAACATCAATCCCGGGGGGATGTTGCAAGGCACTCGCTCCCTCTCACACCGAAGATTTTTAGTTTTTCTTCTCTTTTAGCCGTTTCTGCTGGATGGGGAAGGGGAGGAGGAGAGAGGAGGGGCTTGGTGAGGGGTGACTATGAAGTGGAGATATCTCAGACGCTAGATTGTATGAGGCATTTCTGGGACTGAGAGACACCTGGTGAAGCCTCTCCCCACTCTTCACTTCCACCCTCACCCCCAATTTATTTCTCTTGTTTCTAAGAGATCAATGGTGCCATTATTAATAACACCTTAAATTTAGCACGTTGTATTGTCCTTTCTCAACTTAAATGATTTCCCTCCTTTTCAGCTTACATGGGTTTGTTTTATTATATGGTAAACAACCATCACCACTCACAAAAATGCACATTAACTTAGTCCTTTCTCTTGTCTCCAAAGTAGATACTCTAAAGTGTCTCTCTCTTCTGAACAAGGGACCCACTTGAGGACACTCTTAAGATTTCTTCCAAGCTTCTTGCTAGGAGTTACTTGTTCCATTTTCCAGCCAAAACCACGCATCGGAAATCCACAAGACCCGGTTTGTTTCTCTTCTTAACTTTGTGTCCCTGCAAAGTATATGCAGGAAAAGGACAGAAACAGTCAATAACAATATTGAAAAAAATTAGCACAAGTCTTTTGTTTGACTTTGTTTTGGAAGACTCCAATGAGTGCTACACTCGAAGTAGAAGACCTTTAATACCTGCCCTTTTACCAATGAGAGAGAGAGAGAGAGAGAGAGAGAGAGAGAGAGAGAGAGAGAGAGGGAGGGAGGGAGGGAGGGAGAGAGAGGAAAAAGAACCAAGAAGAGCAAGAGTAACCAGAAGATAAAAGTTGTGACATTCTATTAAACATAGGTTCCTATTTTAATCAACCATTGTTAAAAGAGTAAGTTAAAATATAATTTTCTGACTTCTAATTAATGACCACTATAAACAAATCTTAACCAGATTTTAGAGAACCAGTGATAGAACCCAAAGTCTTTCTTTTCAGAGTATATTAAAAGATCCTTTCCATTTGTTTTTCCTGCTGTTTTTTCCCCCTCAAGTTTTCCGATCATGTTTCCGAAGTGCCATTTGGAGTGAGAATGCATTTCTGGAGGAAAGTCCATTTAACTCAGGGAGAATGGCCTGACCTCAGTCACAGTTTACAACCAGCAGCCCTGAAATGATCATTGTTACAATTCAATTACCAACTTCAACAAGTTACAATTTACTCTTTCTCTATTTATCCCTCTTCAGTTATTGCCATTCTTTAGAGACGTAGCAATTAAAAAAAAATACCCAGAAACAAAGTTTGTTGACATATTTAGTAGAGAAATAACCTGTACTCTTATCAAATCAATGTTTCACCGGAATTTGTGATTAAGGTTTCCAGGTGTATTATCCTTTATCTACTTAAAAAAACCCAACATACTAATACAAAGTAAGAAATAATTAATAATTTGAGCAAACAATATAAAAATCTAGGTCTTTTACTATAAGAAAGGAGTAAAATAACTTTTTTTACTTTGACGTAATTTGATGTTTGCTGAACTTAAAAGGGAAGCACTTTGTCCTTTCTTGCCTTTTAAACACTCATCAAATTAATTGCAGTTTAAATGTGAATGTTATACATGATTAAACATTGTTATTCATGATGCCTAGGATAGGAAGTCTTTCAGATGTGTAATCATTGATTTATTTTTTTTCCAGTGCTGCCCCTTTCTTTGAGAACATGACTTCTGGGTTTTCCCCTCTGCTTCTATAATCAATAATCAAAGCAAAATTGGCAATCATAGCTGGAAAAGGGAGTTGCAAGAGTAGAGATCTGTGATTTATTGTGTATATTGAGGTTTTTCACCAGGACTGGAAATAATAATTACCTAGAAGAGGCGAATGTAAAAAAAAAACTTTCATTTACATGACGATAGCTAATTTTATATTGTATTTTTAAAATTATATTGGCAAGAAATGAAGAATAAGGTGGCGGCAGTTAAGTGCCATTATACTGGAAAAAATGTGTTTGGGAGAGAGTTAACCTTGAACACTTTCATTTGAGATGTTTTAATATATTGTGCAATATACACATAGATAAATAAAGCTGTAATGGGCTTCAAGCAGCACCGTTCTGCTAGGGTCCCCTTAAATTAAGATCAACCTCTTCAAAACATATATTTAAACAATAGAAATAAACTTCATTGGAGTCTGACGACCAATTTTGGAAGCATTGGAAGAGAAGACAATGAGTCCTGATTACATGCGAGGATTCTCTGTGATGTGATATCGCCTTTGCCAAGTCATTTTGTTGTTTTATTTATTTTTTTAAAACAAACTTTCATTCATTTATGGTCTTCTGCAACCTGCTAATTTAACACTGGAGCGCGTTATTGCAGTGTTAGGAGGAGAGAAAGAGGGAGAGAAAACAACAATACTGCAATGATCCAAATGATACAGTAGAATTATAGCAATTATAGTTCTACTTGTAGAAGAAAACCTTGCTGAGATCAGCCAAACAAACTGATGCCTTGTAAGGATAACAAGCTTGTGGATTGACAGCCAACGCTGAGAAAGGCAGGAGGGCACAAACGGAAATATTTGCCTTTTTTTTTTTTTAATTCCAACCAGCCAAGATTAACTTCCTCGAATGTTGCTTTCATAACAATATCCACTTCAGCTCGATGAATCCGGAACATGGTATATATTTTATTCACAACTACAGGTTTATCCGCCTGAAAGTGTGATAACAGGACATGTAATATCACTCTCTTGCTTAGCATTCACTTTCACCCTCCTTTTCCTCCCCCACTCCTCCTTCCACACAAGGAAGCTTTCGACAATTTATTTATTTATTTATTTGTTTATTTTAAAAAGAAACGATTGCGGAGATGTCCAAAGGGACTGATAATTGGATTTCCAGCGCAGTCTCTTCATCTGGTTTAGTTTATTCTTCTCTCCGATCCTCGAGTCCTGTAGGATCTGTTAAACTGGCATTCAATTCTT